CAATTTTGATCTATGCTCGACGAGTTTACCTTGCTATACACTAGAAATTTCTGGTAAGTTAGTCTCTATTAATTTGCATAAATGATATAATAAATCGTATGTTCTAGGATTCGAACTCCACATCTTCTGGGCCAAATGGGCTTCCACATTTATTTCATTCATTGATTAGAATGAAGTCAAGAACATCGAGTATAAAATATAAAAAGAATTTATTATCGGAAAGTAGAACTCGTCCTAATTTTTTTTCCAGGCACGAGTTTTGAGGCGTCGTATCACAAACCCTCAACCGCTCAGAATGGAGGCTCCCCGTCATGACTGCTCCTTTTTTCCCAGCGACAGAAGCTTGATTGTACCCAACTTCTCAGGAGCTCTTCTATCCCTAAGATATGTCTCTCTTTCGAGAAGAAGTGTTTGTCGTTTTTCCTTTCGTCAATGAAGTTTTTCTTTTTTCATCCTTTGAGATGATGATTTCTCTCATGGTTCGAGCCGACGGTAACCCGAATGTAAATCGAAGTGAAGTTCAAGTCTGGGTGATGCAAGTCTAGGAGATGAAAATCTCTTCTCCACCACCAGAGCCTCCAGATCCGCCGGATTCGTCGCGTCATGGTACATATTCTCTTTATCTGCTTCCGTGGTATCATTGTCGTTTGTTCCACACTGTTATCTCGCCCCATTTCCAATCTCCAACATTATCTCCTGCTCCGTCGACTGCGAGACACATTCCCAGTTTCCGACTTCATCTTTTCTTCGTCTCAGCTGGACTCTTTCTCACCGAACAAGGATTCTACTCCAACATGGGATTCGACTGGGCTCGGATTTTATAGTAGACGTTTTAAAAGTCTTCTAAAATGTTGGTAAACTTAAATTTGAGTTTGCTAATCTACCAATATCTCGATAACGTATACTAATGTCTTCGGAAAGATAATTTTAATATTACGAAAAAAAAAATCCAGAATAAATTATTTCAGTAATAACAAATCAATAAAGTTATTCTAGCTATTAAAAAAAAAAATTATTCTAGCTAA